CTAATAACGTCAATAATCGAATAATTAATCGAGGCCTGCTAATAATAGTCAATACTAAAGTTGTTTTTCATTGCTTGGTAAACATTTTATTTTCATAATAATTATATTTATTATTTAAGTTCCTTATTTACTTTTTATGTAATAACTTCCTGTGATTATTGAGTTCGAAATGAGTGCAAGATAAAATCAAGAGTGCTCAGAAGATTTTCATTTGGTAATCGTTCATATCTCATTTATGTGAAAATAAGTTTGGTATTCCTGAAAGTTAATAAAGGTATTGAAAGCGGCAATTGTAAGAGTCGTGAGTGTTAATATATAAGCTAATTCCTGCTCTGCTCTGCTCTTCACCTATTGTCAATTTTATTGAAGTATACCATATTGTGTACTAGGGTATTATGGCGTTCATATATGTACATGTACATGTACATGTACATGTTCATGAGCATGTACCTACACATGATCCATGTGTATATAAACAGAAGTGTAGCTTACGTGTCCCTGCGTCTCGGATCGGCAGCAGAGAGCGGCAGTAATTGAGGAGGCTCGAAACGGGTGCTCAGGTGCATTATCCAATTGCAGCGCTGCCGCCGCCGTGTTCGACACTCCTCCACTTAGGCGGCTTCATTGCAACGGCACGATTTATGACTGCGGCTGCTCATTTGTGGTCGCAGCGCAAGCGAACGATCGATCGAGACGCCATTTTTTGTTACGATTCGGATTCGCGATACCAGATCCCTGCTCGAAAAACGAAACAATATTGATTTTCAGTCTTTGCTGCCGTACCGCATAACTCGTGATGCACCGTACACTGGTCCACAGTCGGCGAATGCTTTGGAGTCTACATACACACCCACATACATGTTCTCTCATTTCTATATATACCGTATATAGGTAAACAATATATGTGCATAGATGTTTTCTTATGTGTTTCTTAATGTTGGCCATTCTTAAAAAAGAGTCAGTTCAAGCAAATCAAATTATAGTTTGTAACACTGTGCGGCTTAGCTTGTTGTTAGCTGTTTCATAGTCGGCATATATACATTATTTAGGTCTGATTATACACATAGGTCTGAAACTATTTAACTGGTGGTTGAACCACTGTGCGAGTAGGCTTCTCCATCTAGCGAACCTGAGCATCCAATTTAGGACGAGGCTTAAATGCAAAGCCTCGGGTCCAACTCGTGAACGCCGCAGGATGTTCATGACTGCCGTTGTGGCTGCTGTCGTTCATGGTAGTGATTGCAAATGATTCTTTATTTGGTTGCAGTACGGCACATATTCGAGTAACTGCAAATACATACACATACACATAAACATGAGCGCCAACTTACATACATACACATATATCTCATATAATTATTCGTTAGTTGCCTTAAAATTAAAGTAGGTTAAATGCTTTCATAAAAACATCCAACTTAAGTTGATAAACGAATATTTCTAAATCGTAAATATCGAAAAGCAGTTACTCTAAGAACAGCAAAACTATATTTAATAATGAAAACATATTAAGCCTGCTCTACAGTATCAATTAAAATAAGCATATATATCTATATGTATATGCCTGAACAATCGAGTCCGTATGTGTTTCAGTTTTACTGCTAGCTAGTCTAAGCTTAAGAGTTTGCTTTAAATGATAACTAATCAACAATTGACATCGTATAGCACACGAAAAGTAAGTATGTTGCCTTCAGAGGCATCAACAGCCTGTCGGCTTTATTATCAGCCGAATTCGCTATCAACTGGTTCTTCTTCATCTAGCTGCTCTTCCTAAGATGTATGAAATTCGGTGGTTAGAACTTTTTCAAAAAGCATTAAAGCGAATGAAGGTAGTGTCCACTCTCGTGACTAACTTTGGAAATTGTTGATTAGTTATTAAATTAATTAAGACATAATTTAAGGTCTGCAAAATTTTCAAATGTGGAAACATAGAAAGCAAGCAAAAATCCATGTAATATCCGTATATACACATTGAGTTTGTGACGGCAAATATGCGTCCCAATTGAGTGAATTATTTACAAGAGTGTTCCGTACTGGTTAGGAGATAACTATTTATTTGAACCCCTTGGAATGGTTTTCTGCAAAAGTATGTAACAGCCAGAAGTATACATATTTTTGATCAGGACGGCGAGCTGAGAGAATCTAGCCATGTTCGTTAGTCCATCTGCTTACCGCAGTTCAGAGATCAGAGCATGGTCGTATGTTTTCGTATATTTTGATAATCGGACGATATATTTAATAGTATGAGCAAAAAATCGAGTTAGTGGAGAAATGGGTTGCATTTGTCATTTGTCAAGATTTGTGCTTTAATGCTATATATCCATAACAAATCCGATGTTTAGCTCTAACAGTATTTTACCTAATATTGCTGTTATTACATATTTCCAAATACATATTTAAATCCAAATAGATTGATATTATTGTTCAGTTTCTTAGACTCACTCCTTCACTACCGTGAATAAGTATTAAGCAGTCAGAAGCGCCAGTCCACAATTATCTTATATGTTTTTTATTTTCTTTTGATTATTTTGTTACAATATTTTTTTATTTTTATATATTTAGAAAATATATATATTTAAAATATATATTCTATATATAAGAACAACAACATGTACCTTAGGGGTAAAAAAATATAATATGTAGCTACCATCAATTATATAGCATAAAGGTTTACATTGCATGTATATACAGATCTGGGTATTAATTTTCGTTTGTTACTTTATGTTGTGTTCCCTTAATAAAATCTTGCGTTTTTAATATACTGATAATTTGTATTATCCATAAATTTTTATTTGTTCTATTTCTTCAGCTGACATCCTATTAATACAAATATATTTGTAATTCTAAGAACACATATATATAAATATATATATATATATATATATATATATATATATCAACCACTGTGATTATCGACTCATGTACTTGTACACTCTTACATATATGTATGAATATATATATATATATACATATATATGTATGTGGGTATGTATATATATGTATGTATATATGTATATATTTCCTCACTCGCGTCATTTTTGACATAATCACGTTGTGATGCTGTGTAAAATAAAGCCCTCGGCTAGATTGGTAGGGCACTCACCACTGGCGAAACACATTGCCAAGCGTCCAATGCCGAGTTTTTCCCAGTAGCATAAGTTGCACCCCTAAGGCAAAAGTGTGCTACCAACCCCAGCTTTCTACATGTGTATATATATATATATATATATATATATGTATATATCTGTGTATGCATTTTGCAACCACTGTGCTTATATACTCATGTACTTGTACAATACACGAAACACACGCACACACAAGTATTAATATAAGCCGTATGCATGTATACATATACACAATGCCATTTACATGTGTGTGTAGATATACAAATCTCTATACATATGTTTGTATTTATGCGTATACATGAATATACATACAAGAATGTATTTACGTGTGTGTGTGCGTTTATGCGTGTGAGTCTTATGTATGTGTACGTGTGTGTGCACATGTGCAGAGGCTGTGCTGCCGACGCAACGGCAATGCCGCTGACGCAGCCTCTGGGTTCGGCCCATTGTCTAGTAGTCAGCTTGAGGGGCGTGGTTTCCGAAAATATAAATGGCTGTGGTTGTAGTTGATGCTATTGCGCGTTTTAACTTGAACACGAATGCCAGCAAACGGTCGCTTACCCACTCATACATACATACATATTGCAAGTGGTATTGGTGCCGACTGAAAAGATTTTTACAGCCTGTGCTCTCTTATAAGCTCTTACTCTTCAATGCTGTGAATGCTCTTTCAAGTGGCCAACATTATAAGACCACAGTAGTATAAGTGTTTTTGTGCAAAGTGAGTTTCAAGCTAAATTTATGATATAAAATATATTCAACCTTAATTGTAATTGTTTTATAAATAGATTTAGGAAACACTTTATATTGAATATACAAATTTTTTTTTAAATTCTTTATATTTGATATTATTATTTTTATAATATTTGATGTGTATAATATTTTATTTTTGATCATTTCTGTGCTTACCTTAAAATATATATATATACTAATCATTAAATTTTATCTCGTTTTGGGGTCAAGTGATCATTAAGTACTAATTTACATGATGGAGAGCTCGAAGGCGAATCAGCTTTAAGGGGTTTGATTTTCCACAGACTTGCAGCATGTACATCTCTTTTTGATTTCTGTCTCTGGTTTTATCTCTTTGCTAAGAGAGTGGAATCGCGCCTTTGAAAACCTGCTCCGGGGAGGGTCAGTGCCTGAGTGTGTAGTGTGGTATGCATGTGTGTGTGCGCGCGAGCGTTTGTGTGTGTGTGATTCGAAAAGTGTATGCGGCTCACAGAGCGGCGAACGGTCTCTGGGACTTAATACGTTTTTACGCACATATACACGTACATGTTATGTATGCGCGTGTGACTGTTGTATGCATGAATGTATGCGCGCGCTATTGTGTGTGTGTATGTATCAAAGCAATTGTGTATGTGCATGTGTAAAAGTTACGTGTGTATGTGTGCTTGTGAACATGCCTGCGTTCAAGCGGCAGCATCGCCAGCATCGCAATACATCCCCTGAAGGTTTTTACGTCCAAACAGAAAATTTAGTTCAGTCGAGAACTACCGTCAGTGGCTGCGCAAAGGCAAATCTTTATTTGCGGGTTTTTTGGAAAAATCAACTGGATAAAATAATATTATGCTGTGTGTTCGACATATCCTACGTTTGCAAACATCTGAAATAAAAATTACGATATTCGATCGCAAGAATCCACCCACGCTTACAACTAAGTGGACCACTATTCACCAACACTTCCACTTCGGATAAGTTATACATACATACCATATATATATATAAATATTTATATATTATGTATATATTATGGTGTATATATAAACAAATTTATAGATACGTCCACATATACTCAAATCAGTGTCATTAAATTAAATACTTCCTAATAAAAAACATGTACTCATATGACTTATAGTTGCCTTATTAAGTGCCAAATTTATCTCTCTACTGAGCAATTGTACCTGTTTTTTATTCTAAACGTGTAAAAGTGAAAGTGTTGAAAAGTGTTTCAGTGCAAATCTTAAAACCCAACTACTGAATAGTTGCTGTCCGACGCATATACGATATATACTCTATGTAAACACTAGGAATACAAAAAACTTTCAACTAAAATGCATATCTTACACCGGACCAATGACCATCAATTTGAGGATCAAAAATTTATGATGGTAAGATTGGAATACGATTCGTCCTTCTTCATACACACATACATTTATATAAGTATGTTCAGGCCTGCTTTGTCAGTTGTACGATAAGTTGCGGGAAAGAGAAACGCACTCACTGACCAATTACGTGTCAGCTAGAATCACTATCACTCAAATCTTATATTGAATTACGAAGCCAAATGGGGGCTGTGTGATCTCTGATTGACATTTAAAATTTCATGCACGCAAGCACTTAGGGCAATTACCATACAACATTGACTCGGAGTAAACTCCATGTCTGCGATTTTAGCAGATTGATTACCATAGTCAAAGCCAAATTTATTATAATAATGGGCGCAGTTAAGGTTCGAATCCCTCAACCTTCAAAGGAGCAGGCCTCTATTAAAACGAAATTCCTAATATCGGCTTTTTGAGCACAAGTTTTCTTCGACTTAATTTAAGATCGAATTTTCACAAAATAAAGTTAAGTAAATATATTCATTTAATATTATGTATATACGATATGTATTTAATATTATGTATATACGATATGTACATTAGATATATAATGTGTAAATAGTTGCCCAATAACTATGTCTTAAAGAGGTCATAGGGTGTCATAGGTGTATCAGGCATTAAAGAATTTTATTAACATTGATGTTGAAAGTTAATTATTTAAGAAATGCGTTTTCACTAAATTGACATTTGTATATTTATTCTTGCTGAGGTCGGTCGGTCGATGAGCTAAATTGATGTAGCTTTCCCTGTCTGCATTTTGATTCTTTATAATTTCGTCTTTAACTCAGAAGCTTTTTGCTATTTCGTCGATTTTGCTGCAGGCTGTTCATATGTCAAAATCAGCGAGATTGAGTTAAATTATTTGCTTTCTAATTCAACTGTATCTACCCGAGTCTAACACAAAGTAAGAACACTTGTGTACTGTATATTCGGCAGCATATATACAGCACATAAGGACTACGAAAGAGTTTTTAAAAGTTGAGTGATATTTCTACAACTTCTTTCAAAACACAATTGCGTCTATTCTATTAAGAGAGTTACAAATATATTTGGAATCGAATTAATGATACCATATTCTTATAGTGGTTAATAAATTTTTACCAATGTTTCATATAAAACTCAACTTTTTATTCCGCGAGATCCAAGTAATGCAAGCTGAATGGTTTTAATAAACGAAGAGGGACGCATGAACAAGAAGCACCTGTATTTATTTGATATGCTCCTGTTCTAGATCGGTCGGACTTTTCTATTACGCTTACAAATTTAAAATCAATCTGTTTATTTTTAATTTATTGAACAATCGGTATATTTTTATTTTATTGAACAGAATACAGTAGCTAATAAGAATTTAAAGCGTGATTAAACATACTTAGGTTTAATTTATATTTCACGTGAAACAAACATCTGTAGATCATACGATATATGCTTCTTGTCTTAATACTATAATATACTCCAAGATTTTACGGTTTATTTAATTAATCATATAGGCAAATATACTTTGGGACAAATAAACAAGATCAACAAAGGTATCATCGATGCAAATACATCATGTTGCGTTTCTCACGTTTGCTTTGTTCGTTTTTTATACAGGTAGAGTCAGTCCACAAGAAATATTGACTTGACACACGCAAGTCGGCTACTGAGTAAGCCCTTTTTGCACTAGAAACAGAGTATCTACGAGCTTTAAGCTTCGAGCTGTAAGCTGTGAGCTTCAAGCTGCGAGCTGGACTAGAGGTGAGAGTATGATATGGATCATAAGGATGATATTCGTATGTCTAGAGTTTGTATTGGCCACGTTTATCCACCCCCATTCAATTAGTAAAATTATATGGTTTATCGGCATTCCAGGAACTTTTTGATCCCAGCTCAAAAATATAGGATAAAATGACGGGGCAAGGGCCAAAGATCAAAACAAAAACACAGCAAAGAGGCTGTGCAAAAGTAATCGCCCACAAAAACTGAATTCGCATAGCCGTTGAAATGGGTATGCCGAATGTGTTAGCGTTATCTGTCTCTCAGTTAGTCTTTCTGAAGACTGAAAAGTGAAGACTGGCTGCCCTTAAATCAGGCATACCATACGTTTCTCGCGTGATGCGTTGCCAAAATAATTTATAATATTGAAGCACAGCAAAAATCAACGTAGCGCCCAATTTGCGTGCGATTTTAAGGTCTGCAAAATACTGATACTGATGCCAATAAAAAATCAAATGGTTGAGGTTTTTAGATCTGTTTCTCAGTTGGTTCCCATAACAATTTCCTTTGCTAGCCAGTTTTTCTGATATCCACATTAAAAAAATTCAATTGCAAATCAAATCTTTAAAATGATCCCGACATTCAAACAAATGAAACTTACATTAATGGAGCAGGATGAACACTTACTCTCAGATATTAGAAAAATACTCTTGTCAAATTATAATAAGAATAATTTCCTGCCTAACATTGATATATATATACAATACTACTTATATACTATATATAGGTAAGCTATATACATATACATATATATATATATATATATATATATATAAATAATTTTATTTTAATATTTAGTTTGCATTGTCCCACATTTGCTTAATTATAGTTAATAATTATTAGATTTCGTGAATATTTTTACTATATACATTCAAATTGTGCACGTTGCACCTTTATATACACCTCAATCAGACATACGCACCTCCGTATTGGAAATTCTTGTAAATGGAAAATAATACATACCTGAATACGTATATATCCCCTCCTTAAATTAATTTTGTAGGGAGGAATTTCGAGACCTACTAGCATACGAAAATTGTTTAAATATGAGTAAATTATATAATGTGAGAACTCACATTCAAATAAAATATATATTTTTATTTATTTTATTAAATATTTATTTCAAATTCAAGTGTTCAGCTATTCTACTATTTGAGATTCTTTAACATATATGAATTTACCAGGCCAAGCATAAAATATTGTTTGCGTTAGGTTTGCTCTTCCAATTCAATTGACAATTCAATTGTCATGTCCGTAGTTTTGGAAGTGTGTTCTTAGTTCTATAGTCGATGGTGTTCACTTAACAACACAGACTTAAATTATTTCATAAACAGGTATTTAAATAACAAAGAAAATTATTTGCTGAGAATTAGATTGCCTCAATTCGTATTAACTTATATAAATAAATAAAAAACAAAAAGAAATTAAATGAACTCAAATTTTGAATACATTCAATACTTATTGAAAACACAACCTGATAGAATGTATTTCTGTAGCTAAAGAATTCCAATTCAGATTAGTATTGTCATCTATATTTTGACTGTATTTTCTGTGCAAAATTGAAATGAGAAACGTTAGACTAATTTGCAACTAAAAACATTAAACAAATTCAAAAAAAATATTGCTCAAAGTAGTTTGAGCATCTACTCATATTATTCTGATGGTTCGAGGCAGCGTATGGTAAATTGGCAAAGAAAAATAAAATGTTTATGCAGATTCAGACGTATATTTATACACACATGGCATGCTAAGACGAGTAGATATTATTATGAATATGTAAGTGCTCCGTTCCAACATAGCATCAAAATTGATTTCATTTGCAAAAAGGAAATTAAAAAGTCCACTCAGAATGAAATTGAAACGAAAGATAAATGTAAATTTCTGCAACGTGGATGCGAACGGCGAACGACAGCAAGTGTCGAAACGGCGGCGTGTGTTAGGCTCGTGGCAAAGCGGAGATCGGCTCGTTTACGAATACGCCAGGCCTGAGCGGCACCAGCAGGAGTACGATCAGGAGGAGTAGAATGCGAGGAGAAGTGAATGCATCTTTGCACTGGCGCGATTGAACTGCAGATCGCAGCTTTTTTTGCTGCCGAGCTTGGTTGATGTTTAAGCCGGTCTGCCGTCTGGTAGGGCCTACCTGGATGACTGGCTGGCTGACTGACTGGCTGGCTGGCTGACTTGCTGGCTGGTTGGCTGGCTGGTTGGAATGGCAAATAAATTCTTATTCTGCTATTCGTCATAAACCTGCTAGAACTCCAGCCACTAGGCACAACACAAGGTTCACAGTCCATGCACTGCATCCCTCCATTTTCACTTGATCCAAAGTTGTGCGTATATCCCGCTTGAATACGTTTATGAATGAGTTTTACTACTTCATTAAAAGGCAGATGTCGGCCTCGTCATGACAGTGGGAGTGAAAATCGGAGAAGGGACGTTGCGACTACGTTTGCCAGTGGTAGAATGATGTGAGTACGAATGTTGCCAGGCAAACGGAGAAACAGTGCAACGGGGTAACCGACAACCAAAGGAGAAACGCGAGCGCAATAAACAAAAATCGATTATCGTTCTCCGCGTATTTTCATTGTTGTTACGAATATTATATTTAGAGTTTGAACGGATCCTCTTGAATTCACTTAATTTATAGCCAAAAACTCATCCGGCTCATCCGGCGGAGTGCTGAGTCTTAGCGTCGACTGAACGTCCGGTCCAACACTATGTACACAGATGTTACGGCTATGCTACATATCGAGCAAATGCCAACATAGTTTCCTTGTTTTATGCACTAAACTTTGTTATGCGCAGAACATATCCATTATATATATATCCTTCTAGCTTAGTTTTAAATGATCTATTACTATAGTCTTCTAAGTTAAAGTCTGGACATATGGCTGTCATCAAGTCGCTGTCAGTGGCTTTTAGGACGTAATCAATTCTGGACGCAAGTAAACATTTCAGAATATTAGAGAATACCAATGTATATGCGCACGCCTAATTGGCAGTTTGCAAATATAGGTCTGACCAGCAACAGCCGAAAAATTGGTCAAAAGGCATCCACGAACCAGCGAAACAGTCGCGCCTTGCAAAAATGTTCAGTTAAGTGGAACGATTTGATGCAGTAATTTTGGTAATAACGGCAACAGACGGATGCCAATTAAGAGGGCACAGCTACTGTTTAACTACTTCAAATTGTTACGTCATTGTCGAGGAATGTGTATATGAACTCTTCTCAACATAATCATTGCTCCCGCACT